AACAGGCAGAAATTCAAAGAAAAAATGATTTTAAAACCTTTCAATCTTAACTAATTTAAAAAATGAGCTATTTACAAAGCCAAAATTTATTTAAAAAGTAAAAACCCAACGTTTTCGACACTATAGGTCATTATCAGGGTAAATAAGAACTGTCCGCTAAATTACATATTTTATATCGTTAGGTAATTCCCGATGGAAAGAGTTCAAACTAGGCTTCAAATTATTAATTAGTATCATTAAATATATATTTAACCAAGCCTGAAAGCAGCGCACCGGTTAGTTTATTTTCTCGCCTTCATTTTTTTAAAAAATCCTTGGCGCTGTCCGTCGAAGAGGTTATTCAAGGAAATTTAAGGACAGTTCGAGTGGGGGAGGGAGAGGGGGAAGGGGAAGGGGGAAATTGACGGGGTCTAGAGCCTAGGGGCAATGTTCTCACAACTTGCAAAACGATCAACTCGCCTGTTAGTCAGTGGTATTTTTAAGCAGTTGAAGAACTTCGTCGATGCTCCTGATGTTTTGAACGGATTTTTTCGAGGATAGGGAATGTATTCTTCTTCAGATGTGATCTATGAAGTCAGTATCAGTTGAAAATATATTCTATTGAGTGTGAATGATAATTTCAGTGTGAGAAGAAAATTAGCCAAAATTGTAAGAGACGACATTAAAACACTTCGAGTTAAGATGGATTTTACTTTTGGCTTAGTCAATAAAGAATTTATTATAACGCAAAAAGATTTCGCTGTAATAGGAATCCAGGATGTCTTGTTTATTTTGAGAGTCGAGAAAGAAAGCCAGCTGTGTTTGTAACACAGTAAACCCAAGAGGGTCCTTTAATTTTTCTTTGTTTTGACTGTCTTCTGCCACTTCATTTTACGGATTTTTCATGCTGAACGTTTGAATTTTCATTTACTTCCACCAGAGGTTGACCCTTGGTGTTTTCGTTTAAAATTTTGCGCGGGTAATTTGTGCGCGGCTGGCCAGATTGATCCCCTTGCTCATGCCTAACGTTTGACCGCTGGTTTCAGTTGTTGTGCAGTTATGCTGTACAGCCAGAATACTTGGCAGTTACCTCACCAGCTGCGTCTAATCTTAGTCACCAGGCCCCACACTTACGACTGCAGCTACAAAGAACAAGATTTCTAGTGTGACGTTCGTTATCCCTTTTCGTCGCAAATGAGTCTACGTCTGAAACAAACTGAATATATACTAGCTTATTACCATCATTGACTATACCTTTGTCGACTTCATGTGTAATTCAGGCTTCGTTTCGTTCGTTCAGCTACCATGTGTAATCCCTTAGCTATATCAGCAGTCATATCTGTGTCGCCACTATCGTCCACGATACTATCAGGTCCACTTTTTGCGTCAATGTCATCCTGATAATCAACAGTATCATCCATTTCCAGTCCTGCTCTATATGCATTTTATTTGCGTGATCCTCGGAAATTTCGTCTTCTCCTGGGTTATTTACTTCGTAGTTGTCTTCACTACCGCCATTGTGATCTGTAACTTGTTCCAAGCTCACAGAGTGTTCGCTGTAGTTCTCAGTAAAATGTCCAAGGTACACGGTAGCTGCTGAAACACTTGCTGACGGAATGAACTTACTCTGCCCACCAACTCCTAGAGAGGAAACTATTTGGATGTCGATGTTGTACAAGTTTCCTGCTGCGCACATTGTTTTCTGATCTTCATAGGTCCCATCTCGCGCCATACGAGTTAAATAGTCATTCGTCCTAGCAAGCGAACTCATCATCTGTTAAATTCTCCAAAAGAGCGAGGCCGTCGCCATCGCACGGATTACTTTTTAGGTAGGCTACAATTTCCGTCCTCGTGGTTTTAGCTCGACTTACTCCCAAAAAGGTTGTCCCTCAGAGAGCAAGCCAGCTTCCCCGCACCAGATCCTTTCGTCCTTTCAAATTCCTCAACCCCTACTGGTCACCTCTGGTGATTTTAACATTCGATGGCCTCGTAATATAGTGCTTTTATCACCGTGGTCCTCTTTGACTGATATCCTTTCGCCGGCTCTCCAGTATCGCACAGCAGCTGCACGTATTGCTCTCGTCCGTTCCTTCATTGGTGGTTGCGTCTTGCCTTCAACCCGGTCAAGCAGGGCTTCATAGACGTCGTCTGCTAAAGCACAAGGTTTCCTGTTCTTTTCGGAGTTTTCACGACATTTATGGGCCACAGACCTATCCCACAATAATGCTAGTAATGCTAAAACCATCACATTTTTTTAAAGTCAGTTCAACCAATGAATACAATGTTAACGGACAAATCTTTTGTGTTAATGCCAGCTAATTTGATCGNAGTTAAGAACGCCGCACTTTTTCAAAAATTTACCTTGAATTTGATCGGTTTTCGCTTGTGTGACTTAAGCAAATCGATAAGGTGTCATTCAAGTCTTCCTGTTTCCTTGATTGAAATGTGATGTTCACGAACGTCGCCTCGATGGATAAGATAGAATTAATATGCATGACTGTGGTATTTGTTTTTTGCTAAGTTCCGTAGTCTTTTTTAAATTGTCCTCCAAAGTTGTGTCAAATTAAAGTCTTGAAAAGTGTCACGACAGGCCT